TCTGCAGGAAAACCTATAAAATAAAACACATACAAATACCCATTATTTTAAGAGATAGAGCAGCTTTCAATCCTGCTTTATTTATTTATTTTTAAATCCTGCTCTTTCTTCCAGAAAGTTAACAGTGCACACAGTAATGGAAACAGAATAAAGCATGACAATAACAACTATCATGAAAAATTATTTCCCATCATATTTGTAGTAAAATAAATGAATGGGTCTTCTTTGAATTCAGCTTCATCCCAAAAGCAAGGTTTTCATCAGGTGCCAAGAAGAAAACCATATAGTGACTCAGACTGTTTTTGGGAGAGCATTTCAGAGCATCAAAAAAAAAACTGTGCTCCTCACTCCACCATGCAGCACCTCAGTCTTTAAGGCGACACTAGCCAGGACCTTGGTGTGTTGAGAAAGTGCACATAAAGGAGAAATCAGTCATCAGGGTGCCCACATCCATAGCTATTTGGAGCCCTACAATACTGCCACTGTGCCATAAAACACCAGTAAACCTCGCTGGTTCACTTTGCCTATTACTGTGTGTTCATGTTCACTAATATGCACAGTTGGTAATCAGGCATATGTAATGAACTGTGTGGGCCCATGAGATCTTTAACCAGAGGGTCCTGGTGTTTTAAAGCATTACATTCTGATTTTGATGGGGAGTAGTTATTCCTACATTAAGTTATAATGAGCCCAAGCTTTTAGTTGTTGTTGTTGTTGTTCTGAAAGACATGTGTGACTAAAAGAGACAGATATCTTAGTTCTCATACTCATCCCCAGCATATGATTTGGTATCCCAGTTGTATCTCATAGGCCACTGAATGGATTTACACCTAGCTATCTATTCGAGAAAGTGTAGCACATTATTCAAGACAAAAGAGTACTTGAGTCAGCATTGGGCCTTGCTGGACTCATAGAAAGCTAGAGAATTTTCACGTTCAAATTGCTTTTCCTACCAGTGCTTTCCCTAAAAGACAGTTTGTGATCCTCTTGGCAGATGTGAAGTACAAGTGGAGGAGACAGGATTGCTGCTTGAGATTGATAAACAAATAGTCAAGGAACACTTTATTAATATATTTGCGAAGGCTTTCACGGCCGGGATCTAATGGTTGTTGTGGGTTTTTCGGGCTCTTTGGCTGTGTTCTGAAGGTTGTTTTTCCTAACGTTTTGCCAGTCTCTGTGGCCGGCATCTTCAGAGGACAGCAGTCTGTGCTCTGGTCTGATATAATGCTGATTCCACGTTGGTAGTTATGTCTTCCGCAAGAATTTTACTGGGTGTGATTGCAAAATTTCCTCCTTTGCTTAAGAATGAGGTTTCTTCTGGGGAGAGTTGGCATCCCAATAAAAAAGTTGATGGGGGAGAGTTGGCATCCCGATAAGTTGATGAGGATGTGCGTGGTGTCTAGTGTAGGGTTTTTTTGGCTTGTTTGGCATTTGTTGAATTTCTGTTTTTGTCTAGCTGTGTGGTTCATCATTTCTTTTTCCATCTTTTTGTAAGAGAGGGTATCAATCTTGTCCCAATCTTGGCTTCTCATTTTTTGGCTGATAGTGATGTGTAGGCCTGGTAGTTCTTTGTCTGTGGAGTCCAGTTTTTTTTGCGGGTTGTGTGGATTCTTTCCCGTAGGAAGGCATGTTCCAGGCAGTCATAGATGCGGCTGGCCTGTGGGGAAATGACGGTCCTTTTTGTCCTGAGGAACGCTGGTATGGTTTTTGTGTCTCTGCAGCGTAGTAGAAATGTTAAGGAACATAGTAGGTGTGCTCTTTTGCTTCGGAGTGTTTCCAGTCTCTGGGTCTGTCTGACTGTTTCCTCCCCGTAGAGGCGTTCAATATATTCGCGAAGGCTTTCACGGTCGGGATCTCACCAGAGCACAGACTGCTGTCCTCTGAAGATGCCGGCCACAGAGACTGGCGAAACATTAGGAAGAACAGCCTTCAGAACACGGCCAAAGAGCCCGAAAAACCCACAACAACCACAAACACTTTATTACTTTGAATAAGTTCAAATCCCTAAGGTTGGATGAACTGCATCCAAGAGTATTGGGAGGAACTGGCTGAAGAACTCTCAGAACCAACGTCTATCATTTTCTTGCTATTATGGAGGATGAGTGAAGTGCCAGATGATTGGAGGAGGGCTATATTCAATAAAGGCAAAAAAGGAGGATCCCGGGAACTACAGACAAGTCAACCTGATATCAATCCCAGGGAAAATTCTAGAGCAGATTATAAAGCAATCAATCTGCAGGTACCTTGAAAACAATGCAGTAATAACTAGAAGCCAACATCGATTTGTCAAGAACAAATCCTCACCTTAATTAATTAATCTTTTTAATCTTAATTCATCTTTTTATCAGATAACTTCTGTGGTAAATGATGGGAATGCTATAGAAGTAATATCTTAAATTCAACATTTTTAATGCCTTGGATAAGGGAGTGTAGGGAATACTTATCGGATGGGGATACTTGGCTCAGTAATACAACATGTGAGAAGAATCTTGGAATTGTTGTAGATCACAAACTGAATAAAAACCAGTGCTATTTTAGGATGCATTAACAGAAATATAGTGTTTAAAACCTGTGTAGTATAGAAGTAATATCTTAAATTCAACATTTTTAATGCCTTGGATAAGGGAGTGTAGGGAATACTTATCGGATGGGGATACTTGGCTCAGTAATACAACATGTGAGAAGAATCTTGGAATTGTTGTAGATCACAAACTGAATAAAAACCAGTGCTATTTTAGGATGCATTAACAGAAATATAGTGTTTAAAACCTGTGTAGTAGTGGTTCCCTATTCAGCACTGGTTAGGCCTCATTTTGAGTACTGTATCCAGTTCTGGACATCACACTTTAGGAAAGATGCAGGAAAACTAGAACAGGTTCAGAGGAGGGCAACAAGGATGATCAAGGGGCTGCCAACTAAGCCCTGTGAGGAAAGACTGAAAGAACTGGGTATGTTTAGCATTGGGAAAAGAAGGGGAGATACGATTCTTGAACAGTTGTCACGCAGTAGTATGTATGTCTTAATCATTTCAGAATGCAGGGCATGTAATAATGAGCTCAAGCTACAAGAAGCCAGATTTCAATTAAATATCAGGAAAACCTTCCTAACTGTTAGAGCAGTACAGCAATGGAACCAATGATTTCACAAGGTGATGAGTGCTACTACACTGGAGGTATTCAAGAGAAAATGAGACAGGCATATGTCAGATATACTTTGATTTGAATTCTGCATTGATCAGGGGGTTTGACTCTGTAGCCTTATAGGCTAGGCCCCTTCTAATGCCGTTATTCTAATACCATATTATTGTATTATTGAGCAATTCAAAAGTACTTTCAAAGGTTAACCTGCTTTTAGTGGTATAACACCTAGTTTGGTATTTGAGAGCCACCTCTCTAATTCTGAATGTGGTGTAGTTGATAGAATAATAGGTTAGGACTCTGGTGAACAGGGTTCAAATCCCCACTCAACCATGAAAACTCACTGGGGAGGGAGCGGAACTGGTAAAACTACTCTTTAAATATCTCACTTACCTTGAAAGCCTTATTAGGGTCACTATAAGTTGATTCTGACTTGACAGAACGTAATACTCAAAACCTTCCAAATCACAGAGATGCTTTTTTTAATTAAACAAAGGACTTACATGTACTGCTTGCCTCCTGTCAGATTATTAACTTTGTTCATGGCCTAGCTGTGTCTTGTAAAGGAAAAGCTTTATTGAGCCAAGATACTAGAATAACATCTAGTAGTGGAGAATACACATGATCAGAGAACCATCATTTTTTAGTCTGCCTGACACATGTTAAACTGAAGGTTTTGGCTTCTCCATGGGACTCAATACAGATGGTTGCGCTAATTCATTTTTGATGGCACAGAAACCTGAATGTCTTTGGCCATATGATTCTGCAGGAAGAAAATCAGAACAAGGTGATATAAAACACTCCAATGAGTGCCACTGTCTTGAATTTGGCACTGCTTGTTGATCTTTAACGGAGCAAATCAGTCCTTTTGGTTGCATTCTGTCTGCCAGTCTGTAGCCTTTACAAGAGAGTAATTTATTGAGGTAGAATTAGCCTGAAACATAGAAAAGGAGGTAATAAGCCTGTGGTCATGAAGAAATGCCTGTAACAGAATGGGGAGCCTGTACCCTGATCTCTGCAGTGACATAATGCTATCTGTACTTGATGTAGCGCTATTGTGTACTTCTACTCAAGTCTTCCATGTACCGTATTTTTCTGTGTATAAAATGACATTTTTTCCTAAAATAATTAAAGGAAAAATTGAAGTTCAATTTATACACGGAAGTAAGGGAGGAGGGATCAAAGCACTTTGATCTCTGCTTTCCCCTCCACGTTTTGCAAAGAAAATGGAGGGGGAAAGCAATTCCTCCTTTCCCTCTACATTTTTGTTGCAAAAAGCAGCTTTCCCCCTCCACATTTTGCAGAGAAAATGGGAGGGGGAAAGCTGCTTTTTTCAACGGAAGTGTAGGGGGAAAGGGGGAAAGAAGGAATCATTTCCCCCCTCCATTTTCTTAGCAAAACATGTAGGGGGAAAGCACCTTTTTGCAAAGGAAGTGGAGGGGAAAGCAGGAATTGCTTCCCCCCCCTCCACTTTCTCGCAAAGAAAGAAATGTTGGGTTAAAACAGTGGGGGCGTCTTATATACAGAAAAATATGGTAGTTGGTGTTGTCAAATACAGAGACAAATACAGAGACTCTTGAAGACCTGATATATGCAGAAGTCAAAATGTGCATGACTTGTATCACATAACATGCATGTTGAGATATTTTGCATGAATTGTATAATCCACTCCTCAGCTAATTGGTGTCTTTTTATCAGTGTAGTGGAAATTACTCTTAGAAACAAAACAGTAAACTTTATGAAACTGTGAACAGAAGATTGTGATTCTTTCTGGTTGGTCTCTTCTAGATCCTTGCTATATTTACGTACTGTAGAGCTGCACCATGAAGCGTTATAGCTAAGTCAGTGAGTTTCTATTTTCAGATCACCAGAAGATGTGCTACTCAGCTTTAGTGCTGGCTATGATATTCTCTATGGGAGAACCACTGCCCTATCATCACTATGGTAAGAATACACTCAGCTACTGTATCACTGAGGAGGAAATTTTTATTTTAGTTTATTTTATGTATTGCAGTTTTTTCCCCAATTTAATTGCCATTTATTCGTCTCTAATTAAGGAAGCACAGCTTGTCCATAATCTCATCTCCACTGTCTGTGAAATGGCTAACCATTATACTTATGGCAGATGAGGAGAACTGGATAGAGTCCAGACAAGTGAAATCTGGCCTGTTCTGCTCTTCAGAACAGGCTGTTAAATTCTACTTCCCCCAGATTGATTTTTTTCAAACAATCCAGCTTAAAATGTTCATCATGCAACATTGTTCTGTTTATTTATTTATTTAAAATATTTTTAACGCACCTTTCTCCTTAAAAAGTACATGGCAGATGAGGAGAACTGGATAGAGTCCAGACAAGTGAAATCTGGCCTGTTCTGCTCTTCAGAACAGGCTGTTAAATTCTACTTCCCCCAGATTGATTTTTTTCAAACAATCCAGCTTAAAATGTTCATCATGCAACATTGTTCTGTTTATTTATTTATTTAAAATATTTTTAACCCACCTTTCTCCTTAAAAAGTATGCAAAGTGGCTCACGGCAATCAAAGGATAAGCACTTAAGTTAGTAACCATGAGTATACAATACTAAAAGGATCAATTAATACAATACCAAAAAATATAAGCAACATCAGGTACAACAATCCATTTTAAAAACCCCACTCAGTAGCCATCCACTCAGGGAAAGCTCCCTCTTGACCTGTTTGAAGAAGGACAGTAAAGATGGAGCCATGTAGCCTCCTGTGGGAGGGAGTTTCAGAGTCTAGAAGCTGCAGCAGAAAAATGCACCTATGAAGGTGGCGAGACTGAGAGGAAGACCTCTCCTGATGATATCAACCAATGTACCCTCTAATTTTCAGCCCCGCCTCTCTCTCACAGGACTTTGCCCCCACGCGTCATGGCCAGAGTCTATCGAGATTGCTGCGCTCACAGACCCAGCTTAACAGGAACCTTGATATCAACACTCGAGCATGCTCACAAAGAGAGACGTGGTCCTTGGGATACCTTGTTAACAAACTGTTTAAGCCTTTATAGGTTAGAACCACCACTGTGAATTCTGCCCAGCAACGGATCAGCAACTTATCTGTACCTCTTATATATATAAGAGGTACAGATCTGGCTCTAGTAAGTGGTTTACAGTGGAAGCTTATACATACTTGCTTGGACATAAGTCAAGCTATATTGAGTGGAAATTACTCCCTACTTTTAAGATTGTCCTCTTGGCTGTATTTTTTAAACTCTGAATATCACATTATACACCAGTGCCAGCCTTCACGCAAAGAAACACTGGATCTCTTAATACAGCTCATTAGTTGCATGCCCCTGCTTTTAAAAAATCTGTGCTCTAAATGTACAGGGTTGGATGGTTGGTATTTATTTCCCTTGGCCTGAGCCTAGCAGTTATTTCTTTTAAGTACTGGGTTTTGGAGCTTTTCTGGTAATTGTACGAAACACTAATTAGTGATGAATGATTATGATTAATGTGGTGCAGGAAAATAAGTTTATTCCTTTCCGTAATGCTCTTGCTTACATGATTGACTGCAGGTAGACAGAAGCAATTCATCAAGAGGACACCTGCTCCTCAGTCACAGTCACTTAAAATCACACTGTAGCTCTGGGTATATAGATCTGTCATGGGGATGGGGTTGGGATACTGTTTTGAAGATTTTCTCCTTTGCATAGAGCATCTGAACTCCCAGTTTGTCCAGTTCCTGTTGGACGTGATTGAAGATGGGTTGCCATCAGATACCACCGACCAGCTGCCGGATCTCTTCATTAATGTGCTTCTGGCTTTTAATCTTCACATTCCAGGTGTGAATCTTCATATTTCAAGTTCATTTCAAGAAGGGATGCCTCTTCCATTTTCATATTTTCCATGTACCAAACCTTTCACTTTACACAAAAGAAGAAAGCCTCTTTTGGGTTTCATTTTTTCTGGCACTCCGAAAAACCTCAAAAAACACTGAACAAACAAAGGGTGACAGAAACGGCACTGAAAGGTTACATGAAAGAAGTATGAAACTTTTGTGTGCTCCTCTTTTGAAAACATGTATCATTTCTGTCTTAGATGCTCTTATCCATCAATCATCAAACATTATATGAATTGCATGAAAAAGAGCCTTTTTTGTGTCTTGGGTATATGGAGCTGGGGATATTCATATTCGTATAGGAATACGAATACCCCCACACAGGTGGCATTAATGAGGGTTGAGCCCTATGGGGCCGAACAGTCCACTCACTGATCCAACGCGGACAGCGCAATTCTACCAGTGGCTCCGCAGCACACAATTTTTGACCTTGCAGCGTGGCTTGTCGTCCCACCCCCTGCCAGGAATGGATTGCACGCTGTGGAGCCATTGGTAGAATCGTGCTGTCCATGTCCACGGTGGATCAGTGAGTGGACCATCCGGCCCCATGCGACTGGACCCTTGTTATCGCCACCTGTGTGGGGATATTTGTATTCGTATACGAATACCCCTATCTCTAGACTTGGGTCTTCCATGTAGACATGAGGAAACATCCCTGATGGCAGGTTCTCAAGTATTCTGGTGTTAAATACCTTGTTTCTTGTACATGTGATGCCGTGTTCCTTGTTTCACAAAAAGAGATGGGAAAAATGGCAAGGAGCACATTCCTCACACTTGCTAGAGAGTTAGGGGAAAATATCATTAATGGTTGGATTGTGATTTTTCCCCCCCAAACTCCTACATAAGATTAATCATGCAGAAGCTGATTAAATTCATTTTCTTTGCACTTTCATTCATTAGTTTTTCATCTTCCTAACTGTGCTAGTAAGCACCAGTAATTACACAGTTGCACTTGATAGGCAGTGCAGATCTGAGAATTATTCTTGCCCACCTGGAGCGCAATGGGAAATGAAACTTTTCCTAGTTAAGAACTCATTAAATGAGGCTACCTCCTTGTTGGCTGTGTGGTTTTCTTTCTATTAAAAAAATCCACATGATTTCCTCCCCCCAAACACATACAGTGGTGCCTCGCATTACGATGTTAATTCATTCCAGCGAAATCGCTGTAGAATAAAAACGCCGTAATGCGAAATTTAAAAAGCCCATAGAAACGCATTAAAACCCGTTTAATGAGTTCCAAAGGGCTGTAAACTCACTGTCCAGCGAAGATCCTCCATAGCATGACCATTTTCGCTGCCCGTGCAGCGAGGAATCCGTCCCAGAAAAGAGAGGGGAGCCATTTTTTTTAACCCAGCGGCCATTTTGAAAACACCGATCAGCTGGCCAAAAACTGTCATTTTGTGAGAATTGGTTCCCGAAGCAGGGAACCGATCATCGCAAAGTGAAAAAAACCCATTTAAAACATTGTAAAGCGCTCGCGTGATGTGATTTTGTCGTTAAACGGGGCGCTCATCTTGCGAGGAACAACTGTACATCTTTTGAGATCCCCAGACACATTCCCCTCCAAAAAAAAAACATTTATGGAGGTGTAAATAGAGGGCCATTTGTCCATTCACCTTATCCAGTGGCTTTTTAAAACTTTATGTGGGGATAGGGAGAGCTGTCCTTTTTCCTATCTCTCAGTGTCCCAAGAGGAAGGGTATGTTGTGATGGGATAAAACAGCTCTTTACATGGTTGATGAGAAATCATGCCAGGAGAACACAGAAATGGTCATTGTCCTCTTGGCCCAAAGAGAGTAATTGAATACCAGTCAAGAGATAAGGATGAAGGTGGATGCCCTGGAGGTGCACCATGAAAAGAAACCAACACAGGGACCAGAAAATTAACTAAGAGGAGGATTCAACATTGTAGTGCTGGCTAAAGCAGAAGAACTGGAAAACATTCTGATGAGGAGAGAAGATTAGGACATGCTAGTATAGTTACGTTAGATCTCTAGATGCCGTAAATTCCATCTGATGTTGAGCTTTCTAGGTTATTTCCATCCAAAACACCTTATATGTGACACCGATGTCCATCCCTGCTTTGCATAACAAAAGGAAGAGAAAAAAATCTATACATACAAAATTATTCTAATACGCATGTGCCTTAAAGCACTGCTTGTGTTGCAACAACGCTGTATGCTAGGGTACTGCCAACATTTTGCAAAGGAAGAACAGAGATTATTTCAATACAGTTAGTCTAGTCAATGTGAAATTTGCATCTAGGTTTAATGGAACTTTGCTAAGCAGTGATATAAAACTTGAAGAAATTCCAGCCATAATTTCCTGTACATCCCACATTTTTTCAGGAGTTTTAGATCTAGATCAAGTGATTGTTTCCAACTTTTTGGGAAGCTTGAGTGGAAAAATTGAGTCTATTCCCACCACCACCAAGGTAGTAAAAATGGTGGCAACTTTCGTGAGGGGCCCCACCTTTTCTACTGCCTTCAGGTGGTGCATGGTGCAGGACATGAATTGTTTACTAGGGGTGAATTGAGGGAAGGAACCTGACCAGTGATGTGGTCTGCACTCCCAATCTTACAGAAAAAAGAGTGCCCAGAAAACTTAAACATGAAAAGTTCCCTGCTTAAAATTGCCCTCCTCATAAATAGTAAATGAGGAAGTGGCAATCTGGGAAACGGGGAAAAGGCTAGGATCAAGTCAGGTGTTTCTGACAGGTGTTGGAGACCTCCCAGACATCTGTACCATTTGAACATTTTCTTCTTTGTTCCGGCATCTCCTTTTTATCAATTCTTTTGCATTATTCATTTGTTACCTCAAGCAAGTTGCTTCAGGTGAAGTAGAGGCCAAACCAAACTCCGATACCAGTATTTCACAGGGAGGAAGAGAGCCATTGGTCATTATAGCTACTTTCTGCTGATCTGTCGTCTCGCATATTTGGTGAGCCTTGCCCATGAGACAGGGATACTGATTACAGAATGAACAGGACTGTCAGGGGGCCACCACTGTGTGCCATTGGCGGAGGCTCTAAAGCAACTTCCTGCTCTCTTTGGTGGATGAGTGTAGGTGAAATAAAAGTTCTCCATAGTCATCTGAACAACTGTGGCTTCTTAATGAAGCGGACATCCTTTGCTGACTGGGGAGCTTTGATGCTTCAGGTTATTTGGCACACAGCATATGTCTCTGAATGAGATTTTACAGTATAAACCCGGATGCATATTTCAGCAGCAACAACCTGGGAGCCCTCGTTCTGAAACATCTCCTGACACAGTCATGAAAGACAGACACATAAACTAGAAATGTGGAAGCACATATTGCTTGAAATCCAGTTGTAAGTCACAACAAGGGTAAGCCTGTTCATGAAATCTCAGCCGCTTCAAGGAGCCTGTTCTCCTTCTGACTTAATACTGGATTTCAGCCATTGTTTAAAAGTCTCTGCTTTGTTGTGTGATTTTTGAACAGATAGAGAGAGGATTTCTGTGACATTTCAAATTTTCTCTGCAACCTACATTTGCATAAGGAAGTTCAAACATGTTTATGAGTAATCTGGCCTTTCTCACCAAATTACTAATAAATATGACGCCTTTCTCACCAAATTACTAATAAATATGTCCAAACCCACCCATAAGCTCAAGCATAGATTGCAGGAAAAAATGTGGCATGTCACAGGAATCCTCCCGTCCAGATAAGTATGGGTTTACCAGTTTTGGCAGTGTTTAACGACAAATGGGTATCTTGGATGTACCAAAATAAAAGTATATGTACTTTTCCCCCTTAATGTACTGTTCTTGATTTTTACCCTTGTGCAAAGTTATAAAGAAAAGGTCATGGTGGACACTAATGATGTAGCATCTTTGCTCTAGGATGCAAATTAGTGGTCTTCCAGATGTGGCCAAACTACAGCTTCATTTAGCCTTAGGCAACCCAGCAAATGCTGAGGAATGGTGGGAGTTCCAGTCCAAGGACATCTGGAGGCCACAAACTTCTAACCCTTCTTTATATAATGAAAGCAAAGGGAAAATCTAGACATACAAAAAGAACACAGAATTTATAATACACATGCACTTGAAAGCATTGTTTCTATCAGTACCCTGTATGGTAGGGTGCAGCTGAGCTTTGTAAATGAAGAACTGAGATTGCTCCATTACAGTCCATTCAGCCAGTGTGGGATCTGCCCCTGGGTTTAGTCAAAACTCTTTGCTACACAACACGGTATAAACCCTCTTACCCTTTCTCTCATTTTCATTGACTGTGATTTTAACTCAATCACAAGCAATCACTCACAATAAAGCCTCTTTTTATTTCTTAGTTCCTGAGCATAATGTGATCATGGCTACTGTGAGCAAGCACTCCAATGTCAAAACCTTTACAGAAAAGCTGCTCCTTCTTCTGAATCGTGGAGGTGAGTAATGTGAGCAATATGAATAATTGTATCGTTTCCATAATTCGGTAGAACTGACAGCGGAGTCGATCAGACAAGAGATGCGTGCTCACAGCACATAGTGACAATAATTGGCTAAGGGGCTCTAAGCTGCAGCAAAGTTTTCTCTTTTTAAAATGTCTGGATCAGGCAAGTCACTTCTGCTTTTGTGGTATGGAAGGTGACCTGCTCAAACATAGATAATTGCTCAGTTAGTGGCATAAGAGCATAACTGGCAAGTAGCCAAGGAACTGATCAAGGCACTGTGTTCCAAAAACATCTAATTAGACATAGCAACATTTCCAGCATAGCTCCTGGAATGGACAGCTAAGAGTTTGATGACTGGGGATCCATATTTTTGCAAAATGAATTTTTAAGGGCTTGTTGCAGAGCAGAACAAAGGTATAATAGGATTTAGTGCAAAACTTTGTGTAATTTCCAAGAATTTTAGAAATCTATTCCACCAAGATCCGGTTCCTGATGTGGAATCCTGAAACCCTCCCCCAATTTGGTTTTTAAAACCATGCTTCTAGCCTAGATTTTAAAAACCAAGGTGTTGTTAGAAGTCCAGTGGAGTAACACCCTCTTTCTGTAATTGGCTTTCTGCCCTTTTCCCCCTCTTTCATAAATCCCTAACAATTCTACAGACAATTCTAAATAAATACCCATATTGTTGTATCCATACATAAGGAATATATTGAACATATTGGGTCTGTATCAGGTTATGTTTCTCAATGCTTGATTTTATTCCCAGTGACACCAGAGCCTTGAAAAGTTGCTTGTTCATCTAAAATACCAACTCTGTGAGTTGTGAACCAAACTAACTTTTTCCAAGATCTGAACTGCTCATATTGCATGACATGGAATCCCCCCTCCTGCCACCAAATTGTAGCTAGGATGCAGTCCTGTTCCTTTTTCCACACTTCAGCTATATCCTATGCGGATTTCTTTTGCCAGGATTGACTGTTGTGTTATGTCTGCTGCATTTCTCCATTATATTGTGTTTCTGCTTGTTATCTATAGCCTGGGATTAATTTAGTCATTGTCATTGAACGGTGCTTCCTGGGAGAGAAACTGAATGTCAACAGGGCTCTTAAAAGCCATTGCCAGGTGTGAAATGCTGCACTATCAACAACTTGACCCTATGAACTAAACAGTCACTTTATTTTGGGGCCATACATAAATGATTAAATATTTGCCATGTAGTCCCACTCTTATGGATTTGTCCATGAAAACATAGCAGTTAATATTTAAGGTGCCAGAACATCCTTATGTTTTTCCCCCTTCTTATATTTGCCAGATATAAATGAGTAAGCATGCTCTGCTCTGTGGTCTCACAGGCTGCTATGGCATGGGATAGCCCTTTTCAGTGCAGAAAATTGTGTTCATATCACAGCTCTTCAGCTTTTGTACTGTTCTTCATAGAGACAATGACAGTGGAGTGGCCTGTTGAAATGAGGGGCATCGCACTTAGAGCTGCACAGCTCACACACAACACTGTTGCACATGTGGGTTCTTTAAAGCAATGGTCCCCAACCTTGGGCCTCCAGATGTTCTTGGACTTCAACTCCCAGAAATCTTGGCCAGCACAGGTGATGGTGAAGGCTTCTGGGAGTTGTAGTTCAATAATATCTGTAGGCCCAAGGTTGGGGACCACTGCTTTAAAGGACAGATCTGTGATTCAAAGGATAGTGAGGGGCCCAGGGTAGGCACTGTGCATTTGCTGTCCATATGTTCCCCCAAGCTTTGGTAGTCCACTTAAGGACTGCGATAACCAGGCGTGCTGCAACAACATCAAGCTGAATTTGTCCTACAGTGTATGCTCACACCAGGAGGTGGAACCAATTGGTGCAGTAGAGCCTCATGGCACAGTGATTAAATTGCTGCAGTCAAGATTCTGGTCACAACCTGAGTTCAATCCCAATGGGCTTAGGTAGTTTTCTTGAGGTTGACTCAGCCTTCCATCCTTCAGAGATCAGTAAACTGAGTACCCAGCTTGTGGGGGTGGGCGATGTATAGCCTGTATAATTAAATTGTAAACCGGCCAGTGAGAGCTTTAAGGCACTTCACTTTGTTGTGTAAATGTGTGACTTGCAGTTTGTTTCAATTTTTTGTATTCACTCGTCACATTTTCGTGTCTGTGTCTCAAATTTTATTAAGGGTATATACATTTAAGATGCATTCAAATGTAGAAAAAATATGAAATTGCTAGTAAATATTCTGCCCTACTTCTGTTCTTGGAGAGAACAGTGCATGGTGCAAGATCTTGACCCATAACATACAATTTGTCTTCAATTTGTTTCAACTGAGAAATTATGCCACATGCTAATGCTGCCTCTCTGTATAGGTAGAAGGTGTTTCTTTTCCACAGGGTTGAGAACTCCTGGGAGTGCAACCCCTGAGCACATTCCCTCCTTTCTAACTCAAAATTATAAAATATTGATGGCTCAGCAGTACCAAGGGTATGTACTCATGGACTCTGGGTGATGAGCCTCTGGATCTAGCCTTTGCGAGGCAGGATCTGATTCCTCAGATCCTGAAAGCCGATTGAGAAATAGCCCAACTATTTTATAGTTGGACCACCCTAACAACAGTGGGCAAAATCAAAACACTCCTCTTTCTTTCATTCCCACCAGCTGTACCTCAGTTCTGATGAGGAAGGCCTCATGCTCTGAGTAAAGTTCTTGAAGACTCTCCTACTGAAAGAAGAACATATGTGTAAAAGGTGGAAACCTGCTGTGTGCAGCAACTCCTGTTAAAATCCTCTAGTTGCAGAGGGAGAGCTGCTCCATCTTTGCTTTTCTATTTCTGCACAGCTTTGAAGCTTGAGTATTGAAGCCTGAGTTATATCACGGTATTGGAGAATCTAACCTGCAGCTACTCTGGTTGCATGTGTCTGGCAACGTTTTCCTCAATCCAATGCTTCCAGCTGGGAAAAGTTTTCCTAGATCAGTATCCCAAGCTCTCTGCTTTACAACTGCTCACATCTGTCATTAATGCAAACACATCATCTCCCTCAAAATATAGCTTCCTTTGGTGGCTAGAATGAGTGTTCCCATAATGCACATGCACATCATGTGAATTGCCCTTTAGAGACTTAGTGAGATATTGCTATGACACAACATTCCCCTTTCTTTCCAACCTGTAACCAGATGACCCGGTATACATCTTCAAGCACCAACCCCAACCACCACACTCGGTGCTGAAGTTCCTGCAGGACATCTTTGCCAGCAAGGACACAGCTCACATCTTCTACCACACAGACATGATGGTGATGATTGACATAATTGTGCGGCAGATTGCGGATCTCTCCCCAGGAGAAAAGGTACTGGCAGGAGTGAAGAAGGCTATAGTCACTCTATGTTGATACTCTTAAAGAGAGACAATTTAATAGGTGTAAAAGGGTGCATTTGAAAGGTTACATAGCTCTTCTGGCATCGGAGATCTCACCAGGCATTACTGACACGCTTGAAAGCAGCCTGGTGCCCTCCAGAGGTTTTGGTTCCCATAATATTTTTTAAAAAAACAAGTAAAAGGGTTAGAAACAAGGTTTGCTAAAGTTGAATTTTGTAGGCAGGAAAATGATGCTGTGCCCTGGTCCACAAGCTTTTATGTTCCATCATGCTCCTGGACAAAGCTAGCCCTGCCCTGGGGCTAAGCCTGTTGTATACATGTCCTGCTACACACACAATGCCAAAAGCATTGTAAGTCAGGTCTCTAAAATTAGTGTTGCCTCTCAGGGGCCAGTTCAAGCTGCTACTATTGATCTACAAAGTCCCAATAAGTTTTAGGCCCCAGTAGACTGGTCTGCTGCGACAAGGCAGCAATCCATGAAGGAGATAGATTCTTGATACTATTTGTATATAGAAGACTTGGATTGGTTCTAGTCTCCAAATTCCTTTTGAAATAACTTTTATAGATTCTTGATATTATTTGTATATAGAAGACTGGGATTGGTTCTAGTCTCCACATTGTGGAATTAGTTTTTCTAGCATTTTACCAAAAGCCGCAATGTTTTCCTGTGGAAGAGATTAAATTTGGCAGAACAGTGTATGGTTAAGGTTATAGCTGTTTTTTTGTTTTGTGTTGTTAACACAAAGTGCTTCCTCTAATTGTTTTACTCATCTCAGGGTCAAATTTAGGATTAAACAGACTGCCAGTTTGATAAGTAGTCATGACTGAAAGCTCATTTTGGGGAGCGTTGTTCAGTTCTTTCAGCCATGAAGAGTTACTGTTGTGTGTCTCTTTGGTCCTTCACTGTGAATCCAAAACACTTGGTTAGTTGAGTGGAACAGTGTTTTGGCCCCATTTCCCTCTAAGCAAAGCAAGACAAGGCAAGTAACCTGTAAGCAAGGATGAGCAACCTCAGAAGGCATGGAAGCCAAATTTGTGCTCCCAGGTGTCTCTCTGGGGCCTCGGAGAATACCCCCAAAATGACTATTTTGGCCATTGGGGGGGAAGGGAATCGGGAAGTGCCCAGGTGGATGCCTTTTTGTTGTTTAAATCTGGGTGGGTGGGGTTAAGTAATCCCCACCAATTTCATAAAGCAAAAACTCCTGTCCAAGATTTGAAATCATCCATTTTTGTTTAGAAGGAGACATTTTTTAGTTCTCTCCCCCCCCCTCCACACACAAACACTCCTCTCAAAACACCAAGCAATCTTCATATATATTCCCTCCCTTGGCACAGCAGGAAAGATCCACTTGAAGGGCAAAGTTGATCTAAATATCATTTGTAGTTTATTTTTCTTTTCTTGAGCTCCAAGTCAAGGTAACAAGTATTTGAAAGTCATTCCAGCAGCGGAGGTGTTGAGCAACATGGTT